GCGTGTGCATCTGTCCGTGCGTCCGTGTGTCCGTGTTGAGTTGCGCCCGGCTGTTCGCGCTCTCCGCGGACAAAGTCGTCTCCCGTTCAGGAGCGCGGCAGCTCGCAAAGTGTGAATAATTTTCAGCGAGGAGTTACACTAAATGGGAAAGCTTTTAGCACATTATCCGCTGGCAATTGGACTATAATCTAATTGTCAGCCCTCGGGTCTTAATAGAGCCTTTCTCTTTCCACCATCGGATTTGCATCTGGGAGATCCCTAATAGGTTTAAAATGCCTCGCATTTTGCTCCAATAAGCCACCTTCTCGCTGTAGGTGACATTGAGATGTTTTTGTTGTGAAATTGGATCTCAGGTACCCGGGCTTCTGCCTTGCTGGCGCGGCTCTTTCCGCGGAGACGAGAGCATGGAGAGGCGGCAGGGGAGCGATGTCCCCGCCGGGAGCGGGGGCTGCTCCGAAATAGGGGAGCGCAAAGAGAGGGGGAATCCGGCGGACAGAGCAGTACAATTACGTGCAGCGGAGGACAAAAAAAATCTCTTGAAAGTAGGCTGATAATCTCGTGAGGTTGCAGGGGAGCAGAGCCAGAGCCAGGTAGCGCAGAGCCAAAGCCATGGCTTTGTAAAGTAGCGGTGCTCTCGCAAGGCTCGAACGGGAGAGCCGGAGACCTTGCCCGAGCGAATAAACACCTTTATTTATGCTGGAGAAACTGTTTTTATCTACAGGGGTGAAAAATAAGAAAGAGCAAAAGATTTTAACTCTTCCCTCCCGAGGCAGGAGTAAATTCAACGCCGAAGCAGCGCTGTAGGTTACCTTGGAGAGGGCTGCGGGCTGCAGGGTCAGACACACGCCCGGGCAGCAGCGGGCGAGCAGCGCTCGGGGTGGGACGGCGGCACGGAGGGTCTCGGCAGCGGCACCCCGCACCCGTAGGCTCCCAGTTAAAGGGAATCGCGGTCCTTGCCCTCCGCACAGGCTGCGGATCCGGAGGGGAGACGGGGAACTAACGGAGGAGGAGGGGTGGAGGCAAATGCCAGGTTATCCCAAGGGACAGCCGCGAGAAGAGCGGGTGTCAGCTGGGCTCGGTGCCGGGCCCGTTTTCGGGGCGCAGCCCCGCACAGGTTTGTCTCTGCCGCGTGAAGTGTGCGGCGTGGGCGCTTTTGCGGGATCAAAAAAAGAGTAAAAGGGCAACGGCCCCTCATCACTACGCGAAAGAGTTGCTTTAATCCTGAGCGCGGTTCCCTGCCCGGTGCGCCCCTCTCCGCACACCCCGCCCGCCTGCGGGCCTGCGCGGCCGCGCAGCGCCGGAGCTCTTGTCACACAGGCGAAGGCGCACCTGAAAGCATCCCTCTGGACCTAGGCTGCTCGGCGGGTTTCTGCGGTTTTTCTGTCCCTCGTGTGTCGTTCCCGTCGTGATTTGTGTAGGTGAGGAAAGGGCCGGGAAGAAGCGGCGCTCATGGTTTTCACGGGATCGAGCTTTCTCCCTGGTTTGTCAGGGATCAGAGAGGGGTTTTGGAAGCGGGCTGCAAGCTCCCTGTTTGAAACCTGACGGCGAAACTGAGACCTAATCCTGATTAAAGCTGGGAACCGAACGAGCGAGATGAGGTGTGCAGCGATTGCCGCACTCTGCTTCTTGCTGGTGCACAAGAGAGTAAGGAGCTTTTTGAGCAAAGTAAAATGGGGGGGGGGGGGAAGTATTTTGAAAGAGTTATGAAGCCTAATGAATGTCTCTGCCACAGCAGGCTGACCCCAGCAACAAACACATGGATTTGCTAGATTAAAAACAAATCTGCAGTGTAGATTGTATGTCCTTCATATACGGGTAAACAATAACGAAGGATTTAATTGAAACGAGTTCAAGCGAGGCAACCGCCCTGCTGGGGAGCAGCAGCGTTGGTAACTCTGCTCTCGGGAGGGGTCGGTGCAGCGGTGACAGCCGCTCTGTGCCTGGGCGCGGCGGGGACTGGCAGCTCCGGTTCGCATCCCCTGGGAAGAGCGCGCGGACGTTTCTAAACACATCTACTTGGCTGGGAAAGCAGAGAGGCATCAAGAGCTTTGGGGTAGTAGTGTATTCCCCTGCCACCCCCTGGTCTCTGGAAGCCGGCCCGTCGCCGGAGAGGGCCGTGGGCAGGGACGGCAAAGCAGCCCGGGGAAGCCGCGCTCGGGTTGCCTGATCCCTGTGTCTCCCCAGTTCGGCCCCGGCGGGGGAGGGAGCCGTAGCGAGGATTAGACGGCCGGAGTTGAGACCCATTCCCTGCCCACGGGAAAGGAGGGCGTCCTCTGGGCGTCTAGACAAGGCTCATTTCTGTATCGGAGGCGGAGCGAGGGAAAAAAAACCCTAAAAAAATACAGATTCTCGTCGGATAGAGCGAAAAATTGCATGGCATAACCAAGTAAAAGAAAAGCCATCCCATGTGGGCATCCCCGTTTAAAATAAAATAAAACGAAGCTCCTGGTTTCTTTCCACCCCGTTTTTTTTTTACCTCCAAGGTACAAGCAGAGATCTGCAAGTCCCCAAAGCCAGTTCCTCTCCCCGGGGGAAACCTCCTGCCCGGAGGTGACCGGCAGCCCCGTCCCAGCTCCACGGCCGCGCCGCGGCCTCGGTTGCCCCTCGCCCTCCGCGCCCGGGCGCGCCGTGCCCCGCTCACCGCGCAGCGCTTTCCCCGCCGCGGCCGCGTCCTCCTCCCCCGGGACTGGAAATCCCGCGGCCAGGGAGAGCAGAAATCGGTCCGAGCCGCCTCAGCTGCCGAGGCGGTGTTTCTCAGACGGACACACAGAAATATCCAGAGGCACCCACCGCCCCTCTCCCCTCAGCCCCGATGGACCGGGGACAGCCCCTGCTAGGGGCAGGTATGTTACGACCTCACTGCTGAGGGACGCAAATAAGCAAAGGAAAAAGAAAGGTTGTTTTGGGGGTTTTGGTTGTTTAGGGGTTTTTTCGGTTTTGATTTGTTGGTTTTTTTTTTTTTTTATTTTTGAGGGTTTGGTTTTTTTTTTTTTTATAGGGTCTGCCATTACTTTGATAGGTTTTATTATCCTTACTTGCGCGGCGGGCACAGTAGGTAGGAAACCAAAGGAGACTTTAGCATCCCTGTTACCAGCAGAGGAAAGGTGAAGAGGATAACTTCCCCGGCTGTTTGTACCGTCCTTTGCCTGTCTTTTCAGGCCGGACCCTGCTTTTCAGGTAGGGCCAAGGGAGCGCAGGGCCGGGAGCTCGGCATCCCCGTCCCGCCGCCCCTCGCACGCCCGGAGAGGTCCCAGGAGCGCGCAGGGAAACCGGACCCGTATTTGGCGGGATGTCCCTCGGGATACAGTGGTAAAGCGTTGAGGGGACTTTTTGTTTGTTGTTGGTCTTTGGGGTATTTTTTTTAAGATTGGTGTCGGCAGAACCTCTCGTCTCTGTTTCCCTGTGTCAAGCAAGATTCGATGCTTGGTGAGCTGACCCTCCCGGCTGGCCGGCCGCGGGGCTGGCTGGGCTCTCCCCTTTCGCCCTTCTCCTCTCGCTAATGCCTGAGGCGAGACCCCAGACCGCTGTGGGCCACGCCGAAATCCTCTGCCAGACGCTTTAGGCTCTTCTAAATAGGCACGTCCCGTTTGCGATAGATATTCTATCTATTAGCAAATCCAGGTAACAAAAGGGCAAACTGCAGTTGGCTCTCGCTGATCTCAAAGCGATAAAGCACTGTTTCGTCCTCCCCACTCCACTGGCCGGGCAGGGTGACCCAAATAATTCTTTCTCCATAACAATTAATTAAATGTAGTAGGAATGGGATCGACACCGGGTATATATGGCTCTTGGCACGAGCCTGCATAATAAGAGTGCTTGGATTCTGTTCTAGATTTAGAAGGTGGAACTTCATTGATAAAGTTACACGTCCTCTTGTGAGTCGTTCTAGAGAGTAAATATCTTCAGCGATATTTTTATTTAAAGGTATTTTATTTAAACGCACCGCTTTTCTTTATTTAATTTATTCATGAGAGTATGTTTACATTGTATGTGTGAAGGAGCACTGGTGAGAAACTTACTTAAATCACTGCCTTGGAATAAGCTATCGTTGGTACCATCAACCCGTCCCGACTTTCTCTGTCTTATGTGCCTGATCAATACCATCTATTTCGGCGCAGCCGATGAAACGGATTTGAAGAAAACTGTGCGATCAGCGGCCCACGCACTGGTTGGGCTGGGAAGGGAATGCTGCAAGGGTCTCACCTGGAGTCGGTGGGGGGAGTACATCTCACCGGGATGACAATATTTGGGATCCGGTGCAGCAAAACCAAGGGTACGATCAGCCTTAAGGGACATTCTGTCCCAACAGAAAGCACACAACGACAAAAACGGCTGCTTTCAAAGCTGCGGTCTTTTAATATTTGAATGCAAAAGAGAAAACTGACGCTCACACACACGTACCAGAAAAAAAATCACAATTACATTTCATCCTTTCAAGCGCCTCTCCGCCGTGTCTTGCCTCGGCAAAGCGAATAGCCTAGGGACCTTCTCGGGAGCATCCCTGGCCGCACGGCCTGCCCCTCCTTCCCGCCCCCGGGGCTCGGAGCAGCGGATGGCGCTTCCCGGGCCGCAGCCGGGGCCCGGCGGGGAGCGGCGCTGGGGTGCCCAAAGGGGAGCGGCTGCGGGGAGCTGTCCCGAGGGCCGGCCGCCCCCTCCCCACCCTGCGGGCGGGCAGAGCCCTCCCCTCTTCTCCCTCTTCTCCTCTCCCTCCCCTCCTTCTGTCCGTGCCTCCTCCTCCTGCTGCTGCTGCTGCTCCTGCTGCCCGCCTCCGCCCCCTCCCCCGCGGCCGGGCCGGGCCGGGCCGGGGCCCTTGACGTGTCCCGGCGCCGATTGGCCGCCGGCCGATAGGATCTCCGCGGCCCCGCGTTAAGGCGGGGGAGCGCTCGGCGCCGGGAGCAGAGCGCTCCCGGTATCCCGGCTCCGCCATCCCGGCCGGTCCTGCCCTGCCCCCCGCCCCGTCCGGGCAGCGCCGCACCGAGCCGCGTCCCCGCGCAGTGGCCATGGAGTACACGCCGCCCCCCAAGCCGCAGCTCTCCTCCCGGGCCAACGCCTTCTCCATCGCCGCGCTCATGTCGAGCGGCAGCTCCAAGGACAAGGAGTCCCCCGAGAGCACTATCAAGCCTCTGGGTGAGTGGGGACGGGGGTGTCCGTGGGGTCCGTCCGTCTGTCCTGTCCGCTCTGGTTCACCCTTCTCAGCGCTCCGGCAGCCGGGCCGGGCAGCGGCGCGTCCCCCCTGCGCGAAGGCTTCCCCTGCGGAGGGGAAAGCAGCACCACCTAAGCTTGAAGGTTGAGTGCCGTCATCACCCACGGTCGTTTTGAGGCTGTTTATAGCATGAAGAGTTTCCTAAATTCCTCTAGTTTCAGTTATGCCTTTTATTTATCCAGCTTCGCCATTTGCACAATAATCCCACACCCTAAGGTAGTTCAATTTCTCTTCGCTGACATGAAATGAATCTCTTAAATGGATATTGCAAAACCACCCTGGTTCTGAAGTGAACTTAGAGACGCTCCGTTGTCGTGCCGAGGCTTACAAGGAGTAGTAAAATTTGTGCGTAGAACTGAAAATCCCTTCACTCCGCAGCTCCTCGATGTAGGCTCATATAGGCTGTTTTGCTCTACACAGACCGGGAGGAGTTTTTTGTAAGCATTTGTGATTTTCGGGTAAGCGCTTTCGCTCTATTCGGTTGCCTCGATTCAGAATCCTGAGTGCTTTTAAAAAACACGAACATCTCCTCCTCCTCCCCCCCTCCAAGTTTCTGCGGTTTGTCATCCTTGCGTGTATCCAGGAGTTCGCAGAAAACTACAAAATATGTGTTAAGCTTTCAGGGCGCCAATGAACAGGATTACGCTCAATCTTAAAAGAATTTAGAAAAGGCAACTCCTCAGCGTCTTCTGCACCTAATCAACTGTCTCAAAAGATTTCACATAGCTTAGGGATTCATTGAGAACTTCAGTTTTAAGTCTGGGCGCTAATGTAGGCCGGGAACGTTGTAGCATTCCCGGTCGGCGTATTTACATGGATTTGTGTTAAACTTTGTGGCAGTGGGGTTGGTTTGGTTTTTGGGTTTTGTTTTGTATTTTTCCTGAAAATGCTTATTTAATTTAACTTTTCAAAAATGTTTAACCCCTTCCCTCATGTCGCTCAACTAAAAATCGAAGGGAAAGGACTGCCTGTGACTCGGTTTTTATTGACTGGAGCTTTAGGCAAAACCTTTCCCTGGAGGGGCAGGGCGCGTTCGTGCTCCTCCCGTTCTTTGGCGCCGGGCGGCCGATCCGCCGCCGCATCCCGGTGCCGCACGGCGGGGCCGGGCAGAGCCCTCGCAGCCCTGCTCCCTCCCGGCCTCGCCTCCGGCGGAAACTCCCAAGGGAGCTGCTGAAGCGCCCGAAGCCTCCCGGGGCTTGCGGGGGCGGGCGGCGGAGCCAGGCGCGGCGGGCGGCCCGCGGCGGCAGCAGCTTCTGCACCCGCGTAGGTTGCGCGGCCGCACGCAGCTCCTCCGGGGCCTGTTTCTCCAAAGGAGCGGGCTCAGGGTCAGCTAACTGGCTGGGATAAAGGCAGAGCCAGCTTTCCGGGCGGGTGACCCCGTGCCCGCTGTTTCATTAGTATTTGGGGTTCGCTTCCCCGCGAAGGAAGCGCGAAGCCTGCGCGGCCGCGGTCGAGCTCCTTCTGCTTTGCGCTCTCTGCCAGCGGCGCAATCCAGGAGCAGCGTCCCGTGCCTCCCCAGCGTGACCCTGGCCCTCGGCAGCCCCTCGGCGCCCAACGCTCCCGTTTTAATGAGAATTAGTGACCTTTCCGTGGAAGCCCTCGGTTGGCGGGGGGCAGCGCGCAGGGCTGGCTCTGCCCCGCCGTGCCCCGCGGAGCGGATCGCGGCCGGGCGGCGGCGGCGCCGGGGCCGGGCTGCTCCCGCCGTCCCCCGAGAGTCCCTCCCGGTGCGCCGCTGCGGGCTCTTCCCGGAGCTCCTCTCCCAAAATCAACATCCCTCAAATGATGAGCGGACGCCTAAATAACGGGCCGGGTGTGCGAGGGCAGTTAAGCGATACATGCCTTTCATATATATAATATATATTTAAGTATCTTGTCTCTGTGATCCTATTGTCCTGGCTGAATCCCCTCTTTCTCTCTTTCTCTTTTTCTGTCTCTCTCTTTTTCTTCACACCCTGCAGAACAATTCGTTGAGAAATCCTCCTGCGCCCAGCCTTTGAGTGATTTATCCAGCCTGGATCCTCACGGGGATTTTAGCAGCAGCCCTTCCTCCCTGTGCACCGAGCCCCTCATCCCCACCACCCCCATCATCCCCAGCGAGGAGATGGCCAAAATCTCCTGCAGCCTGGAGACCAAAGAGCTCTGGGACAAGTTTCATGAACTGGGTACCGAGATGATCATCACCAAATCCGGGAGGTAAGGCTGGGCAGCCCCGGGGTTTCCCTCCGCGCATCTTTAGAAAAGCGGCTTTGGACAGGGAGAAAAAGGGCAAAGTTACCGAAACCCCGCAGGTTTTTTTTTTTGTATCGGGAGAACAGCACGGTGGGGTTAAGGGGAGGAGGAGGAGGGTGAAGCTCCATATTTGCCGCAGCCCCTCGGCGGGCCCCGCTGGGGCAGAGGGAGAAGCGGCCGGGCCGGAGCGAGGTGCGGTGCGCTGCGGCGGGGCCGGCTGAAATCCATGCGGGGCGTCCTGGCGGCGGGGAAGAAGAGTTGTTCCCGTAATAATCAGGTTTGTGACTAAAATCCTGCGGTGATTTTGGGGCGCTGGGTTGTTACAGACCGAGGGAAACGCGGGGTCGTGGGGAAGTGATCCTGTCGGAGCTTGGTTTGGTTTGTTCTTTTCTCTCGGTTGCAAAAATGCGCAAAAGAATTTCAGGCTTTCTTCTTACCTCAAACTATGCCGTTTCTTCAGTAAAGCTTGTGGGGTTTGGGTCAGTCAAACGCAGTCTGGAGGAGCCAAATGTTTTTCGGGGTTTTTAATCCCCAAAGTTACTTTTTATGAACGTAGTTGCCTGAAGATTTTTTTTTTCCCCTTAACTGATAAGATCTATCGGTATGTGTTTTTATTTTTAAAAAATAGGTGTAAAACATTCAATATAAAGTTCAATATTTTAAACTGTCAAAAATTATTTAACTTTATTTCTGGTCTACAGGATAACCTTATGTTTTAAAATAGTGTTTTGTCAAAACAGTACAGAAAATAAATGGTTTAGTTTTGAAAATTCCGTTCAAAAATATTGCGAACAGGCTCAAGAAAACACTCACGTAAAATATGTGAAAATAACAACGGAAATAATTTTGGAATATTTCTCTTACAGTAATATGGATCCCACAAAATATAAATAATGAAAGAAAATCCAAGTTCCTAAGTATCTATGTACCTCAGCTACAACTATTTTCTGAAATCGTTGTGTGCTTTAAACTGTCAGGCAAATAGTATATTTCTCCTTTCCGTATTCACTTTTAACAGTGTTTTTCTTTTTGCTCCCCAAATATAATTTCGATTTCAAGCTGCTTTTTGTCTCCTTATTAGAGAGACACAAGATCTAACTCCCGTCATGTGGAAGAAAATCAATACGTGCTTTAAGATTTTGCAGGGGATTCAAATATAATTCTTACTTTTAGCAGCTTTTCAGATGCTTTGTTATTTCTGTTCTCTGCCCAAGTATTTATTTTCTGATTTGCCTTTTTTTTAGGAGAATGTTTCCTACGATCAGAGTTTCCTTCTCGGGAGTGGATCCTGAGGCCAAGTATATTGTGTTAATGGATATAGTTCCTGTGGACAATAAAAGATATAGATATGCCTACCACAGGTCTTCCTGGTTAGTGGCTGGAAAAGCTGACCCTCCTCTCCCTGCAAGGTTTGTAGATTTTATTGCTGGTCTTTTATTTCTCTTTACTATTATTTTCCCCTTCACAAAATATCTTGTATTAATCTTTCCATTCTGTTTGCAAACAGTGCTCTGAGATTTTGAGTCCGTGTTCAACAGAGCTGGTTACAAAATTCTGATTACAATTTTAGTGTTGCAAAATCTGGCTTCAGATCTCTGCTTGAGATTTGATTTATACTGAGTATTCCAAGATATGCAGAATTTGGTTAAGAGTTCTTTTACACATACCGGGATTTCAATTTTTTTTTTATTTAAGTTTGTCATGATTCAAATAAGAAAACTTAAAAAAGAAAAAAAGTGTCCCTTGGATTTACCCCCCCCCCCCCCCCCCCCCCAATATTTGACCTCATAATTTAAAGCAACCCAGGCGTCACCAGCCAAGCCAAAAGAGGAATAAATTGCAGCTCATTGCTGTTTGTGCTTGAAATTATATTATTTCTGTAACATACCCAGCATTTGCTAACCAACGATTTTATTCTTGATTTTAATCATCTCTTAGGCAGCGGGAAAAGTACAGATCAGTTCCTCAGTTACTTTTCTTTTTGTTGAAAGATTGCATATTCTGAGACATCAGGAAAAAACCCCTCTGTAAAATAAATCCTCTACAATAAATTCCCTTTTCTCTACAGAAACAAATGCTTTAGAAATTTAATTTCTAAAATAATTCCATTAATGCAATTAATGACTGATTCCTTTAAGCACTGGGCAACTGAGGCTGCAGCGCTGGGCTGTACAGTGGGAGGGCAGGTCAAGGGAGACCCACACTTCATCGTATTCAGCCCAGCACTTCCGTACCTACTTCAGTCCCCAAGGCCAGTGAGCCTGCAGCACATGTCGAAGGGCTTTGCTGAGTCAGAGCCGGAGATATGGAAATAACGTGGATGGAGCCTCTCTGGCTTCAAAGAAACTTTTTGCGGAGGGCTCCCTGCAGGAGCACAGATCTGCTCCAGGTGGCTTAGCCTGGGGTTAAGAACTTGCTTATTACAGAGGCAGAAATTATAAGTGAAACACAAGAAATGGAAACCAATTTTTTTTTTTTTTGGTGTGTGAGTATAGGCACCAAATTCTGCGTGACTTCCTTATATAAATAGTTGAACTGAAATCTTGGTGACTGGTGATCTCTGGAAGGCTGTTCAGGGGAGTAAACAAACAAAAAGCGCAAGCAGAGAAGGTGTGATTAAAGACAGCAACCTAGGAGTTATGTCTGCTTTGTTTTCATGGCCAAAAACTCCTTCTTGCAGTGTGGTTAACGTCTGAGGGCTTCATTTGACGTATTGTAATAGGCACTGATCAAAACCCAAAGAAAAAACACAGATCCTGCTCCAAAGGAGTCAGCATCAAAAGAAGAAATAACAGAAGAACAGAAATAATTTTAAGGCAGTGTTTCCCCCCTTCTTATTTTTCTGTTCATGCCCCTTTTGGGGTACCTTTAAATAGATTTCTAATTCACACTCTCTCTGGCATAGACTTGTTCAACAAGGAAATATTGGAACGTAAGACAAGAGACTGGAATAATTAGCGATTGCCCTACTGAGTATTGGATAAAACCTTCTTGAAGTTTAACAGTTATTTTTATTGTACTGCAGTAACTTTTGGGAGTCCTCAGCAGATAAATGCCCCTATGTGGAAATCCGTGCTGTTCCATTTTCAGGATGCTTTGCCCCCATGTGTGAATGTACACCTTTCCTGCTTCATTTTCAGGATGCTTAGTTAAACAGACTATTGATCAGAGCACAGGCAGAGGCTTTTTTCCTTTGTGTAGACAGCACTTACATAGACATTTATGCACTTTGTCCTCCTTATACTTCTCTTTGGTGGGAAAAAGGATATCAAGAGGTTCAGCGTGCCAGTGTTTGCATTACCAGTGCTTCTTCTAGAGTGTTAATGTATCTTTTCAGATGGGAGCCCTCAGTCTTGCTTGAAAAGATTAAAAGTAGTTCTCCTCCCATCTTGAAACGAGTTTGGTCCTGCTTCACTAACAAAACCCTTAATGAAGTTATGATTTCTTGTCTTCCAAATGCAGGGTTTTAGCTCTCCCTGCTTGAGGAGTGTCAGTGAGAGGTGTGTGTGTGTGTTTTAGTGTCTGGGAGCTGGTAGCAAGGTACTTACTCCCCACATACATCATTGCCTGCATCTGCCCAGGCACAGTGACATCAGGGGAATAATTCAGGAGTTGCATTGTGCCTGGGTGTAAGACTTTGCAGGATTGAACCAGTTTGATGGTTTTACTCTATCCATTATACAAATAACTTTCAACACTATGACAGTTTTGTAGGTTTTTTTGGAGTTTTTGGGGTTTTTTTTTCAAATTAATAAGTATTCTGTGATTCTGTTTGAAAGATTAGCCCTTCAGGGAACTTTCTATTAAAACCAGTTTTATCCTTGTCTTCCTGCTGTCAATGTTGAAGACAAGCTTATGTTGCAATGAACAAGTTTATGTTGCAATGAGCACTTAAACAAAAATACTTTTCAGAAAGTCTTTTGTAAATCTTCTAAAGTGGTATCTGGGGATAGAGTTCCTATGTGATATTTTGTGTTTTTCTTCCACATTGTTAAGACTGTGTGAAACATCAGTTCAATAATTTTCCTCATGTACCCTTATCGGATCATCTTCCTTTTTTGCCTCATTTCTTTCACTCAAAAGTTTATCACTTTTTTTTTTTTAACTGTATTTGTCTACAATAATTTGTTTAATGAACGTAGTGTTTACAGACTTATAGAAAACTCTAGGCAGGAAACCTTTAAAAGGTATTATATTTTGAGAATTATTTGAGATGTTACGCTAAATAAAAGTAGCATGCACGGGGACCAGACCATCTGTTAAAGTAAATAGAGGGAGTGCAGTGTTGCATTCCAAAATACACAAGAAAGAAGCAGTACCCAAACCTTGTGTATATCATGAATCATTATATACTGCAGAGCAAATTCACACCCAAATATGGCTCCTAAATCCTTTGTGAATCGAAGCAAGGAACCCCTCACATCTGGCTGGCCTTAGGCAGCAGATCCCAGACAAACTTCTGGGAGAGCCTCGTGTGCCACCCTGGAATGTGCACATTTATCTCACTGACCTGTTTGCTCGTGAACACTCGTGGTCTGGCCAACAACTTCTGCTTCTGAAATTGCTAAATTGCAGTGTCAGGGGTTCAGCCCTCTTCCGTGAGGTGTGCAAGCTCTGGCTGTGGGAGAAGTGTGGGAAATAGGTGTAACTCACCAGGTGGAACCCTGTGTTGCAGTGGGATTGTTGGGGTGTAGCAAATGGGCAAAGAAAAGGAAGGTCTATTATTGTATTGTATAGCAGTAATTGATATTCTGGTGCCCATCCTTCAGTGACTCTCCTGTTAACACTCTGTTTACAGGCCCTTGGTAGTTTTAAAGCAGTGCCAAGCATTAGCCGTGATGGTGTAAAACAATTGTGCTCAGCTTTTCAGCACAGGGAGGTCTTTACTCATTCCCTGCACATATTTGAAATACTTTGGCTTCTTGGTCCCAATTAGCCAAACCTTGCTGAGCCTGACACTCTGTGATGGCAGTAAACACTATTAGCTAGTATCCAGACACTCAAAATTAGGAGGCAGGCTCAATTAAAAAAAAAAAAAAAACCCACAAAAAAACCCCAAAAAAACCCCACCCAAAAACAAAACCCAAAACAAAACCATCACAAGCCTGGCTGAAAATTTGCAGGGCATGTTCGACATTCTTTTTGTTTTGCCTTCCCTAATTCATGACTCTAAATATTGAAATTTTCGCACAGTTTTTTAGAGGAAGACAAAGTTAGTTTTCATCAGAGCTAAGATTCTTTTGACATAACATGATTCCAGGTCTTGGGATTTCAGATATATCATCATTTTTTATGAGCTTTGCAGTGCAATCAGCAGAGTTGATAGCAGTGAGGATGCCTGCATGCTAGGAATATTTATTGTGACAGGAATCCTGGCTCAGCATCCCTCCCATGGACATAGCTAGAGCAGCCAAGCTGTGCTTTGGATCAATGTAAGGAAAACATCCTGCACATCTGAGGCGAGCTGTGCTGGTAAAACTTTAGTTTCACTGTGTCTTGGGGATTCTGCTGGCAAAAACAGAATACAGGATCAAATCTCCTTCCTCTTGGAGCAACAGGGCTGCTGTCCCTAGCGTCTTTGGTATGGGCATTCCTTGATTAGGGATCAGCGTGCTCTATTGGAGAGTTACGCCCCACCGTTTAGTGGTTTTTCCATTCTAAAACCGTAGCTCAACAACAAGGACAAATGTTTATCTTCCTAACCTGGCAGCTCAGTCCTGCCCCACCCACCTAATGGAAGAAAGTCATTTGTGAGGCCAAAGACATCACCCAAAATGAGAGTCAGGCCCTGAGTGAGTGATAAGCAATGCAGGCAATAGCAAACCAGGGCTGGTTTGCACTAGCTGAAGGTCTAGGCCATCACAAAAGAATGGCTGAGTTAATAATTTTCAGCAATACGTTATTCCTATAAAATCATTGCTCTTAAACAGCATGGCACTTGTAATTAGTGTAGTCATAATGTATATATCATTGTATCTGCATGTCTTCTTGCTTCCTTTTCTTCTGCTTAATTTCCCAAGTGTAGGATTGTTAATAGCAGAGCTGCAACTAATTTTTCATGTCAGACCACTGTGCTGGACTGCAGCCTTCAACCTCTTATAAACAGACGTCACCACAGCAAATGTGTGATCGAGTGCAGGTTAAAATCATTATCACGGCTTAATGTTACATATAAAGAAAAATGCATTTTTATCTGCATTCCCCCATTATCTCTGTAATGACACCATGTTTTTTCTCTTGGAGTTGTAGTCATTGTTATTTTAAGTGCTTGTTAGTACAGCTGTGGGGAAAGACATGATCAATTTTTCATTTGGGAAAAGACACAACAGGGAATGTTAATGTCTCCATTTTAGATAGCGGGATAAAATAATAGTTATGGTTAAGGAGCAGTCTAGCGCTCAGACACAGGATTCTCAGTTATGTTCCAGTGAATTAAATAAGTCATCTGCTTTACTGTCCTTCATGAATAGCTTTATTTCAGGAATTCATTAATTTGGGGGAGATGGTGTCACATTTTAGCAGCAGATCTGTATTACCCTAAGTTCTCAGGATGTTTATGCCTGGGGAACCACTGCATATCCCAAAAGCAAAATGACGTGTGCATTTTGACTGCATACAGAGGTAGTGCCCACACGTGAGCCCAGAGATGAGATTTTATTTTGAGCAGGCATTTTCCCTGTGTTTTTTAGGTTGTATGTGCACCCTGACTCCCCGTTCACAGGAGAGCAACTGCTGAAGCAGATGGTGTCCTTCGAAAAAGTCAAACTCACCAACAATGAGCTGGATCAGCATGGCCATGTGAGTAGCTCTATGGGTGGGAAAGGGAAAAGAAATCATCAAATAATTGCTTGCTTTTGCCACAGGGCTAAATGGGAGAGAGACTGCCATGGAACGAGGCTGCGATGGCCCCCATGTTGCACCTCTTTTAGCCAGCCCTTCATACTACAGGGGTAGAATATGTTGGGTGAAGCTTGAATGTGTTTGGTTTAACATGTTTAAGGGTCCTTTTGGGTTACTTTGTTGTTGAGGAACAGGCATCTTTCAAAGTCAGGATTTTCTGTAATTTCATAAGGTGGAGCCTGGTTCAATGGTTCAAATCATTCTCCTACTTCCGTCAGAAAAAAAAAATCCATCAGGGACAAGTTCAGGGTGGAGTTGAACATCAGAGCAAGGGATAGAAGGGAGGCAGAAGAGCCTTTTGTTGTGCTTCTGCTTTCATTTTGCTGTGACTTGGCAGTATGCTCTGCCACATGCCATGGCCAGCCAACCTACGTGCTTTTATACGTGTGCTTGGAAGCTCCCTGCAGGTCACTTCAGGCCACCTCTCAGGGTTGGGTCTGTCAATAAGAGATCTTTTACTTCCAGACTCATCACAGTATGGGCTCAGAGTCAGAAGAAAATACTGACCTGACACCAAAGCTGGGTCTATAGAATTATAAAACATAAGCGTGCCTCAATTGCTCTTGAAATAACTGTGGGCTACCTGCAAGTCAAGGTGCCACAGGGTGGGCTTGGGCTTCTGAAGGAGACAGGTCCCAGCTCTGCTTGGTGCCAGTTTGTTTTCCTAATCCCTGGAAGGCTGGAAGATGTTGAACAGGATTTAGAGCTGCTTGCCACAGGTTCTTGCTATGCTCCATCCGTGGGGACAACCTCTGTAGTTATCTGAGTGCCTAATGGTAGGTGGTAGGAATAGGTATTGCCTGTCCTGTTCTCTCTGTGAAAGTGCCCATAAAGTGCAGGAAAAACTAGATAGTGCTCCCAAATTGCAAAGAAAGAGCTAAAATTGTTGCCTGTGGGCTTGGTGATTCTCTCAAGGACGGCAGAAGGAGGAAGGGGATGGATTTGGAAGAATTGTCGACTGAGAACAGGGCAATTCAGTTTAGAAGAACGAGCATAAATGTAGTGTTAGTAAATGAGGTGTTGGGAAGAGAGAAATTATGTTGAATTCTAAAACATGTTCAGGGATAACGAATTCATTCAGCTGAATAATTGCTGAATACAATGTATCAGAAATCCCTTCCCTAGTGTGGTATTTATTGCCTGGACTGTGAGAGACAGTGGCCATTTGTCTCAGCTGCGTTCTGTGCAACTGTTTCTCATCCAAAAGAGGATTTTCACTCATTTCAAGAACTGAGAATTGAATCACAGCCATGACCGTTTAAAATACATCCTGGAAATAACAGCATCAAGAACAGCTGAAACCCCCAAACAAATAAACAAAAGAAAGCCCAGATAGATGCCTCTGTGTTGCTCTTTTGTAGAGATCCATCTTAGGGTATATTGTTCTTGAACCAGTCCCCACCGTTGTTCCCTTCAGGACTAGTGGAGAATGGTTTTGCTTTTTTCCTCTCTTTTATTTCATAATCTGTAGAAGGGCAAAGCTGAAGATTTGTGAGGTCTATCACCGAGTGATGATAGAGCAGTATACGTGAGCACTTAAAAAGAAGCATTTTTCATCATAACAGGGGCCATGTGTGCCTCTAATAAAGGGCTCGCAGCAGTATATTGCAAGCTAGTTAGGAGAGCTGCACTTCCCAGAAGCCCAGAGGAGTAGGAAGAAGAAGTGGGTCTGAGGAGCTGTCGGGAACACAGACATGTGGCAGAGCAAGAAGATGTAATTGTCTCAAATACAGGCAGCAGGAGAAAATGATCCCCAGTGTTTGAGACACAGCCTTCCCATTCATTTCCGGAGAAGCTGAGCTTGATCCCATTCTTTACACAAAGGCTCTGGACAGCCAACGACAATGGAAAGTTTTGTGTGCTCAGCTAAGGATAAGCACTGAAGGCTTGATCCTGTGTTGATTTGGGTGTCAGGTGTTACCCCTTCACAGAGCACTGTCTTTTTAATATTTTGTGGGGCTTTATGTTCCAAATTGGGATGTCAGGTTTTATGTGCTGCCTTACTGAAGCTATGCAAATGTCATCATTGGATGATCAGTAGAATTAAGGAAGAAATCAGTTCTCTTCAGCCTTTAAGGAGGGCTCCCTCTACTATGGCTCAAGGCATTTCCAAACTCTTATGTATGAAGAGGAGAGGAGAATTGAAACCTCCTGAAATCTCTCACTTCTGTTTGAAAGAGCCAGTCTTCACTTTTTAATTATGTTTGATAAGGCATGTTGGCTCCTGAAAAAGTTTGGATGACCCAAAAGACGTTTTTAAATACTAGTTACAGGTAGGGAAAATGGATCCAACTTAATTCCAGTTTGTTCTAGTTGTTTGCTTTCTTCACCATCCAGAAGACAGTTTTGGGTGTTAAGGTAATTGTGGTTTATTTGTAGGGTGGTTCCCTTCCTGAAAAGGAAGAAGTAGAGAAGAGAGGCATTTGTTTGTTCTAGCATATGTTTGTTTTCTCTTATTCTGAGACTTTAGGGTTGGCAAGCATTTCTGATTGTCTACCTTCAGCAGCATGTGTAACCCCAGAGTTATGCACATATTCTCCTCAAGCCTCAGGCAGAAGTCTTATCTCTGTGTGCATGGCATACTGCTCACTGCATTGAAACACTTTCAGATTATCCTTACCAGAGAAAGGAAATGGCTCCTATCTCTAGATTTTTAAAGCAAGCAAGAAATTGCCATTTTTCTGACAGTGAAATATATATGAGTGCGACATTTCCCCCCCATTTTTTTAGTGATACTTTTCACAGAGTGCTTTCTTTAGGACTTTTCATTGCCCTTCATTGGAGTGCTATCATTTCTGGTTTATGGTGAGGTGAGCCATGAGTGTATACATTATTGTAATAATGTATTTGGCATTATTTTTGGCATTTACTCAAACACATGAATCTATACAAAAGCAAACTCAAAGCTGTGAACATGTTTAATAAATAACTGTGAAAACTGAAAAGGGGTCATGGCATAGTCCCAAGGATTTATGCCCAAGTTTTTTTTAGTCAACAAGGCACAAGTTAGGAACCTTGGTGCTTTCAGAAAGAAAACTTTACATGGTAATGCTATTATTTGAAGCGGCACTCACAGCACAGTTCCTGAATTCAAAACCACCTTGGAATTTTGCAGCTGGCATCCAGATTGCCTCTGGTGGCTGGTCTGTAGCCAGTGGGAGCCAGATGCCTACAAACCTGTCTGACCTTACAGCAGTCAGGATCCTGTAAGGAGGTATCCTGGTCATCTCCCCTGACTTAGGCTGTCAGCACAAAGGTGGATGGGGTGGCTGAGGGCCTGTGGCTGCCAGCAAGTGTGTGCAGGGGGGCAGCCATGGATACATGGGCACCTGAGGTACCTCTTGGGACATGGCAGCAGGATTGTCACTGAGCTGGCATAAGGCATTTTCTGATAGCTACACCATGCAGGAGGGGACTGCTTGGACTTTGAGGCCACTCTTGGAGCCTGCTCTGTGAGGAACACCCTTTGGATCTCGCTCCTTTGGGCTGTTTTTATACGGTCCTAACACAGATATTAAGGAGTGTCTTTGTGTGTCACCAGCAGCTTGTGGGGGGGTTGGAGGTGGGGAACCACACATACAGACCCTCACATGGAGGAAATGGTGACATTTTCCTTGGTCATGGGTGTTTTGTGACCTCCTGGCTGCATTCAGTACTTGTTTTGTACATGAATGACCAGACTTGCTCTGGTGGGAACGAGAAATGTAGAGTACCATGGCAAGGGAAGTTACCCATGTGCACTCTATTTTATGGAAAACTTTCATAAGGGATTACATGGTCTTGTTTGAGAAATGTAGTTCATTCATCACAATTTGCATTCAGAGAGGAGTGAAAGGAAAGGGCATGTGTGGGAGCTGCTCTCAAGTTTTTCCTCCTTCCGCCTGACTGCTGCTCAGATGTAATGCCTTGGTGTGGATATCATGGCCATGAAAGGCAATGGAAAGCACCAAGGTCTGTGGGCCAAGCCCTCAGTAATCTCATCACCATCCACACACCCTGCTTTAAAATGTCTTTTCCATCTGCTTAGAGCACTCCAACTATCTAGGATGGCAAGACAAAATTTTACAAAGAGAGGGAAAAGTGCTAAGGATATTAAAGGCGAGGTCTGTGTCCACTGCGTGTGTTCCTATACAAAATGGTGAAGTGCTTTGAAAAAGGACCTGAGCTGGTTAAAGCAAACATGCAACACTTTTAGGATGATGGTTCACTGTCATTGCAATGTTTTTCTTGTTGCTCTGTGCCTCCCCCCAAGTCCCAGTGTGAGTCTTGCCAATATTTGGCCCCAAAGGAGCAGCAAAGAAAAACACTGATGGACATTGTAGCCGTGATAGAACTGTCTCAAAGCTCTCCACTCCAATGCAATGTGCAACCTTTCTCATTGACTTAGCATGAAATACTGCACTGCTCCTGCTATGTTTCAGCTGAAGTTAACGCTTCCTGAGGAATGCACATTAGCTATTCCAGATGTAGGGAGCTGACTGTAATGTCGTTATGGCCCCTGCAAAATAGAACCACCCACACCATTGCCAATTTTGTCTTGTGACTGTGATTATATCCAAAAGAAGGGCTGGTGTGAGCTGAGCTCTGTATTTAATTCTTATATTGTAATACTGTGGTTAGAGACCGCCAAACAGGCCTCCAGCCAGTGGTAACTAAAGCAAGGGGGACTCTTGGTTTGACTCGAGTGAACGTTGAAATTGGTTGGTTGGTACCTTGGGTTTAGAATTGTTTTGGGAGCTCGTAAACAATTATTAATGAGGATAGAATAGCAAAACCCAGTCATTTGGGGGTTCCGTACTGGTTTCCCTCCTCGCTGTCATTTTTGGTAGTCTGCGGTGACGAGCACTCCCGAAGGAGTTTGTTTTAAAGGTTTGCCACAGTGAAAGGCTACGTGGAGTTTTACTTTTGGTCAGATGGTTTGTGCTGCTGCTGGTAGGCCTTTTGGATGGGTCTAATTTTTTCCATAATTTTTTTTCTGAGGGATTTGTGGCTGTTTTCATTCTGCACATGTGCATTTTTGCAAGTGGGGGCTCTTGGCCATTAGCTTTCAGGAGTTACATAGTCACACCTGCCAACCAGGGCACACTCTGGCAGTGACTAATTCTGTATGTAAAACACCTCACCTGTAGGAACAGGTATTTATGCCTTAAGAAATGCATGTTCACCAGTGGCGTAGGAGTGAGAGGATACTAGCTTCTGGGATGCCTGCTTTTCCACCTTCATTTCCTGGAATTGCCCAAAGGAGCTGGCGAATTTGCTCTGAAAATCAGCCCTTGGCTGGGTAGATTTCAGGTGCTTCCCCTGTAGTGTTAATTAGATCTTTCTCTCCCCTCCTCCCCCTGTGGTTTTATAGCCTTTAAGGGCCCTGTCAACCTTCCTCTCAGGACAGTGCTCTGTCATTCTTCCTTGCAGATCATTCTGAACTCCATGCACAAGTACCAGCCAAGGGTGCACATCATTAAGAAGAAGGATCACACAGCTTCTTTGCTAAATCTGAAATCAGAGGAGTTCAGAACATTCATCTTTCCAGAGACAGTTTTTACTGCTGTTACTGCCTACCAGAATCAATTGGTGAGTAGAGTTGCTAATTTCCACAGATGTAACTAGATCCCACCCTGTTAAAAACTCCCTTCTGCCCAATCTAAACTAGGAAAATTTCTGCTATAACCTACCTTTCCATGCCAATCTTATTCATATTCATGAGTAATTCCTGAAGATACAGTAGTAGTACAGACTTCAAAGAACAGTAAGAATTATTCATGAGAGTAAAAATGGCAAGTAGGAAGTTTTCTTTTGTCTTCCCCTCTGACTATAAAAAGCTTCTTGCATACTAACATTTAGTCATTTTCTAATTATAGCTCATTAAAGAACTGTTATTTACAGTGATCTTTCATGTCACAAGCTATGAGCTGAGAGAGATTCTGGTTTGCACATGATGATTTCATGAGCTTAAAAAGTTGACTAATTAAGCTGTAAAGCTCAAACGTAGGGAAAATCACTCAGAGATATGCTTTTCAGAGGCTGCCCAGATTACATCCAGATGTTTGAATTTCAATTTGCATGCCAGTGAATAATATATACAAAATGGAGGAGATCATAACAATGGATTGCTAATGAGTAATTTTAGGAAGTCTATAAACAATCAGAGAACAGAGGCTCTGTTTGATGGTGGATTGGACTTTAATATTTAAGTCAGTGGAAATATGTTGTTGCCTTCAGTGTGATTCAGAGCATGCTTTAAGGACTTACTGACTATGGTACTTCAAAAAAACCCACCTATTTTGCTCCTTAGTTCCCTCAAGTTAAGAAAAACATACACACTGCCCAATATGTGGGCAGGCAGCATCAGAGAGTTAATGTACCTGCTGGATTATTTAAAGAAGAAGGCATTTCCTAATATGAAGCAAAAGCAATTTTGAAATGCTGTGAATAAAATGAAGCTAATGCATAGGGTGCCAAGGAAGCTCTGAAGATAATATTAGTAATATTAAGTCAGTCCTCATGACAGACCCCACATCCTGCTTTAAGGCTTTAATAATGTATTGATTTAGACTTAGATTTGTATCTGAATGCTGTAGAAAACATACTCAGCACCTGGCAATCTCAAGAAAATAATGTTTGGACAGGCAGTTAGATTTTTCCATGTAACTTTCTTTAGAAACCGGCAAAATAGTAACAGGCACAAAACCAGCTAAACCCAGAATTTATTTCTGTAGGATGGATTTTTGTCTACCGACGATATTTACACTAGAGATGTTTCTAAACTAAAAGCACATACATTGAGTCCTGGAAAATTTCTCAATGGAACATCTCCGGAACCCCTAGAGGTTGATGTTGTCATTTTATTTACGACTAATGAAAATGGAGCCTTTTTTCATTTTTGCCATTTCTTTCAGAACTGTTTTAAGGAGGGATTGATTACATTTCTGGAGGTTATTAGATAAAAGCTAAATACATTACACTTTCAACAAACTATCTCATAATTTAAGATTTAAAGGGCATGCATTTATTTAAACAGTCAAACCACTGCCACAGAGTTGAATTGTAGGTCAGATTTCATTTTAAAATGCTTTCTAGCAGATGTTCTCTGATTGTTTGTGAGGCAGTCTCTCAGGAAAAATATGGCCATAAATGATTGTGAGTCTCATCTGGCTTTGGTGGATACAAAAAGTTTCTTCTGTGATGTCATACCAAAACTTTAATATCAGGAAGATGGAAGTTTGATTGGTGAAAATATGCTCAAGAGATGAATAGACATCCTTATTGTTCTGTAGTGCAGTTGGCTTGGTGTGTCGGTGATCTCAGTCAATGGAACTAGTTAGAGCTTGTCTTTTTTTCAAGGTGGTTTTCAAAATGCTGCCATAAAAGTCTTCACTGGATGTGAGGCACCAACTTGCCACTCTGCAACATCTCCGTGAGCTGAGGGCTTATGGATGTCTTGGAAGTAGAATGAGCCTATAACTAATTTTCTGAGCTGTTTCAAGGTCCTTGTGACAAGGCTTCAAGATTGTTTCCACCAGCTGTATATAAGTGATGAGACAACCTCAAACCCTCCACCAGCACTCAAGTCCATGGTGTTCGACCACTAACAGACCCTTAATTAAAAATTTAGAATTTCCCTTTGTCAGCATGTTCCTTCCTCTCTGTGTTTTCCTCAGAAGACTTCTTTCTCAGAATTAAAAGTTGTTTCCAGTTGCCCTCTTTATTTTTTAACATTTTATAAAAATATATATTTTTCCTCCTTATTATTTTCTTTTTATTTTGTGGGAGAAGCCACCCCATTTTGAAATATATTTGTTTGATGAGAGTGCTTCATTGTTTGAGGAATGGAAAAGATTGGAAAAGATCCCATTTCTTTTTTTCTGAGTCTTGAGGCCCAGTTATTAAAAATGAGGTTGTAGCCCCTTTGATACAGGTTTTTTTGGATCTTTTTTTTTTGAAGGAAGTCAGGCTGACAAAGCCCCTTAATGTGAAATTTTGAGAGCTGTTTGATTTTCTTAAGCTAGAGCTGGTGGCATTCACTGCCCTGCAGGATGGGTCCTGTGTTTTCTCTCATCAAGCTCTAACTCCCACTTACAATTTTACTTTTAGCTCTTGGAAGAAGTATGGCTGGAAAATCCAAATATTACAATGATGTCTGATGTTTTATTCACTAAATCTAAATTGGTTGGATAGATTGAAAATTTCACAAGAACAATGGTGCATTTTTTTCCTGGTCCTTGAAAAAACATATTGAAAGCCACCACCATATGCCTGAAAAGTTTCACCACAAAGGAGAGCTCAGATATTTTGGGGCAGGAGGGATTCCTGGTCAATGGGTTGCTCACTCAAAATGGAAAGGCTGACTGAATGAGTGGGCAGGTTTATAGCTACCTTTGAAGAAGGGAGGAAAGTTTTTATTCATGATCTGTGGTTTTTCAAGATGAAATAGTGATAGTTTCAGTGGAGTTACTCCTTCAATCCAAGCTCTGTCACTTTTAATCTGAGCTCTCCCCACATTTTTCCTTCCCTTCCTCACCTTCTTTTCATACAAAACCAGTTAAACTGCCCCTATGTGGTGGCTGGTAGGCCTGCCTAAGAAGATTTCCCTGGAAAATAAATATTTTTTAATACCACCAGTAAAAAAAACAAGATGGTGGTGAAGTGAAACCGTGGCATCAGGTCACTGGGGCTTGTGTTGGTTATGTTCAGCTCCACCAAGCAGGCTCAGCTGTTAGCAGGGTGATTTGTGCTGCCTGTGAAAAGACAACCTGATTGATGCTGGTGAAGTATTTGGAAGCTGTAATGCTGTCTGTGGGTGGGTTCCTCCTGCTCCAGGCAGCAGGAAGGCTGAGCCTGCCGTGCCCTTTGGTCTTCCCACTGCCACACGTGCAGTGCAGCCTGGTTTGCCTCCTCCTCAGCTCTGCAATGTCTCAGGAGCAGCGCGCGCGCACGGGGCACGCGGATGAAATGGGCAGTGAAGCCACAGGGGATGGATTGGCCAACACTTTGTACACTGCAGTACCCTGACACTGTATTCGTGTAACGTTGCTCTTTTTTGTGTTCCCAGATAACCAAGTTGAAAATTGACAGCAACCCTTTTGCTAAAGGATTCCGTGACTCTTCCAGACTCACTGATATCGAGAGGTAATGGGGACTTTCTGTTTACTTTCCATGCAGATAAGATAAAGAGAAGAGAGAGTTTGTAGGAAAAGCATCCTTTCAACTCTTGAGAACCTGTGCATTTTAATGTTATCTTGCTGCATACAGTAAGACTCCTCCACATCCTTTAAAAATACTTATAAACTTTATGAAGAAAGAGCTGTTTTGAGTTTTGACATCTGTTCCAGTTGGGGCCAATATATTCGTCTTCCTCAGGGGGCTTCTTGAAGGGGGAAGAGGGTCAGTTTTACAACTTCAGAATGAAAAGCTTTTTTCTTATCATGCCATTTAATCCTATTGAGAGCTGTGAATTGGGTCAATGGGAAACAAGGGCAGTGGTCCTGTGAAAAACATCTTTACAGCTCCCCATTGCTCAACATAGTGGAAAAGAGAGAGGGGAGCTCCCAAAATTCACTTCAGCAGTCCCAGACACCAAATTGGCAATTACTACCATCAGGATGACTCCCATAACTCCCACTCTGACAACAAAGATGCCATTTTTGTTTCACCAAAGTTGTATTACAAGCTGCATCAGGGGAAAACTTTATCTGGAAACTGTTCTGTGTGTATACAGCTCATTACAAGCAACTGCTGCCATAGGGACAGAAGCATTAACCCACAGCTGAGTTAGGAAATAAACTTCAATCTCTTGGTAGCTTTCCAGCACGTCACATTTTTATGGTGTCGTGTCAAATAACTTGGCAAATGAAGCAAATTAAGCTGCTTGTGTCCTTTAAGCTGAAAGAGAACTCGATGGAGATGGATATAGCACATCCAATTTTTCCTATGAGCACACAATCATGAAAGAAAGTTTGAAGAGGCCAAAACCCTCCAGGCTCCTACATGGAGATATCCAGATGTATCTGTGAATCATTTTTCACAGGTGCATGCAGGGGACAAACTGCTCAGTGAAGTCATAGCCACAGAGCTAGACAAAGTCTTTACAGCAGTTCAAAAGCACCTCTATCTAAGCAGGCCCATGGATGGGAAATAGTGGTACCCTTTACACCTTACTAGTCACCCTCTCAGTAAAAATCCAGCACTTGTAGATGAGCTGTAATATGCATGGATGTGACAAAGCCTAGCTGATGCCATGGCATGGGAAAAGTAATGACATTTATGAAGAAGGGGCATGAAGTTATCAATACACTCACACCACTTCTCTCAATAGCAAATAAAAATGAGAAAACTATCTTACATAGCCAGCCCCATGGAGCTCCACTTCACCCAGTGGAGCAACCATTTCTTTCTGACTGTAAACAGAAAATGACTGGATCGTAAGTGATCTGTCGAGTAAATGGGTAAAAGAATAGTAATTTGTGGGAAAAAAAGCTTTTAGGCTGCAGTGCACATTTGCAAATTTATTGAAAATTGTTTCTTAAGTAAAAGCCTTCATTGAAAATGAAAACAAACAAAAAAAGGAGGCAGATTTAATAAAATAGCATGTCCTGCTGTGTTGAGAGAATACTCAGGTGAACAAGATCCAAAGCTCAGGTTAGTATGCAATAAATAGTAAAGGAAGGACCTGTCAGAAGAGGTTTCCTTGTTTTACAGACAGGAGTCATCTAAAGACACAGCTTTGCAAGGGCGGAAAGAGTCTGAACAGATAAGCTGGGAGAAAAACTTAGTTACCTCTGTGCAGATGAACTGACTATCATGGTGCTGGATATGAAGGGAATTTTTCCAGAGGACATCTTATTATAACAGCACATGGCATGGAGTCAGAAATGCTGAGCATAAGCTGCAGTGCCCTTTTGTTTATTGATAAGTGTAAGAATAGAGCCTGAGACAGGCAGCCGAGCCCAGGCACAAATGTTGCCACGAAAGATAAGGCAGACAAATGTGAAGCCTACAATAAATACAAGAAACAGAATGCAAAAAGTATTAAACTTACACTACAACTCTGGATTTGAGAGCCCAGGTTTTGGTCAGGTCTGATTTTGACTTAAATTAGAAAACTTAGCCCTGATTACTATTACAATATTATTTAAAAATTTAGAACCTGCTGCAAAACACATCAAGTCATGAGATAATACAAGTGTAACAGGCAAGTGGGCTGGTAAGAGAGTATTTGAGAATTGCCTAAGTCATACAAATGGTGCAGAAATATCAAGGGTTTTTTTCGGTTCTGCCACTAAAATACTCAGGCACGTGAAGACATCATTCTCTAAGTGCCCACTGGTTCTATATTAGCACCAGAAAAATCACTTAAAGAAATTCAAAACAAAGCAAAGGAAATAGCAAAATAAATGACAATAGGGAGAATGGCAACAGGAAGAATTTCTTATTTGATGTCCATTGCAACATTAGTTGGAAATAGGTGAATCTTGAATAGCACAGCATGACTCTTCCTCAGTCTAATTGGAAACTATAAGATCACTGCTGGAGAAAAATACTTATTTTCCAGAGAAAAGACTGTGAAGGCCAAAACACACTTGCACAGCTCTTGAAAATTGACTAGTTCTCAAGAAGCTGTGAAAATACTTTCCCTGCACTGCTCCCTCAGCAGGCATGCACTCAGCACGTGTGTGTGTGTAATCTACAGTGTGGTGTGGGGATCCTAATGGCCTCCCGTAAAGCATCCCATGATGTTGGGGCCACGACAGCACTCATTTATCCTGAGTTCTAGCTTTTCCAAATGACCTAAGTAGTGTGAAAGCACACAGTGCTTTGTATTTCATTTCCAAGTATTTAAGCCTGCTTTTTCCTAAACAGCCTTTGGGGAGGGAAACAAATCAGATCAATTGATCTTTAGAGACCTAAAGAAATTAAATTAGTCTGGAGTCAGTTACTGCACTAAACCATCCAGTAATTGGATTGCTTCTTGTAACTGATTGAAAACAGCCTCTATCTGTAACAATATAGGGAGCTTTTCTTTATAGTAGATCTGAGAGAAAAACACATCTTTTTATGACATGATGACAGAAATTGCACTTTTTTAACCTAATTGAATATGATTTTATAAATATGTGACTTTAATGATTTCAGGCTTCCCATTCTAGATTTACGATCCTTATGTAAGAAATTCAAGCTACAAATGCCTCTAGGATTAAATCTGTTGGCATTGTATGTGTTGGAGCTGAAATAATATATATAAAAGTAGTGAAATTTGCACAGCAGTAGAGGAGATAGGCAAGAGCAATGTTTTTGAAATGCCCTGTGTTTTCTTTTGTTCCTATCATAGAATGGTTTCCTTGTACTCAAAGCTATATACAAGTCTTTTAACTATCAAAAGAAATTTTTGGTGAGTTTTTTTTAGGATGCAAGGTTCCCATCACAATCAACCCTTTCCCTATATTACTTGTGATCTATTTATAGCAATGTGGCAAACTTTATCTGGGGCTACTGGGATTTAGATAAGTTTCTGACTCATCTTTTGATCTTTTTACGTGGTATTTACATCTCCTCTACTATAAAACGGCTTCCACTGTGGTTGTGAAAAAAATTGAACATTTAGCAGCAATTACCAGAATGTGGAGCTTAGCATACTGTGGGATGTGGGACTATGAGATGCCAAATCGAGTAATGAGGCATTTCTGCTAAAGAAAAAACTGTCACAGGCATAAAGAATGCAGAGGCAGAACCCAACAGATAATTTTTTTTCATTTGAGCCTGAATTATCTTTTGAGTTGTTGTGAAGAATTAGCCTGTTAAAAAATAAATAGATAAATAAAATCATCATACCATTCAAAAAATCCAGTGAAAAAGGTGATAATTTCAAGAGCAGGAGCCAAGTATGTGATAGGCAAGTTCAAGGTGTGGATTTTTAATATTTAAGGAGAGAGTTAAATGAGTATACCCATCTGCAAAAGTCCAATAATGCTTATGGGATACTTCAAGAGGAAATATGGAAAAGTATAGTTGCACACCCAAGTAATTTTAGGCAGAGAAGGAGAAGGGAAGGATGGGGGGATGGGGAAGTTAGAGAGCAGCATCCCAATTGGATTTGCATGGTAATAAAATTCCAGATTTTCCCTTGAGGAGCTTCATCTCTGAGATGTGGAAATATATCACGCTGGCTTCCAAGGCAGTAAGCAAAGTTCATGCTAATGCCTGGGTAGGGGCACTTCCCTGCTGCAGGATCAGTCAAAGCCACATGCTCAGTGCTGGGCTGAGCGCATCCGTCCTCTCTCCCAGCCCTTCCCTGCTCAACCCACTGAGCTGCCCTCTTCCCCATTCCTGTTGCCTACTGCTGGTCTGGAAGATCTTCCCAGACTCTTGAAAGCCTCCTACCAACAGCCAGAAACACATACAGGCTCTGTGGCCTACCCCCACACCCATGGTTAAGTAGGGCTTTGTCATAGTTCTCCAATAAGTCAAACTGCTAGCTGATCCTTTATTCTCAGCCAGCTGTCAGTCTGTGAATGTCAGCAACCAGCCATGAGATACCATCTCTGATGTTTAGGTTCAGAGAAGAAAAGAAGTCCTGAATTTAGAGAGAAATGCCAAGGACTCTGGCATAAACACCTGGTACCTAGTGCCAATATTCCAGATGTTGCTGAGGTTACTCCAGCCTTCAGCTGCTGCTCAGATGCGGGGGTGGATTGTCTCTATTTTTTGCATCATCCATTCCAGAACACTGCAGGTGGCTTGGATTGTTTAGCAAATCTTGAAAACACTACCTGCCTATGTTTAAACACCTGAATTATTCCTTTCAAATCTAGTTCATCTGACTCTGCTTGTTGTTAGCAAGCCAACAGTTCCTTTTCACCCAGGAGAAAGCCCCCCTGTGCCACTTAAATCCTCTTTAGTTGCCAAGTTTTTAAGCACTCACACTCTGGCTCATTTTCCACTTAGGTTTTCTGTTCTCTATCTTCTTACTTATGCAAAATGGTATAAAAATATTATTCTAGTTGTTTCCACTCACCTCATGCAGATGTAGTGTGGGCATAACAGGTGGCGATGATGTCAAATCAGATCTATGGTTTCAACCCCAGAAAAAGTTTTCCAGGGACTTCCCCCTGCAATTTCACAGGACATCTCTG